GCGTGGGAGAGGCTAGTGACTAGTATGGATAGGCTGTTAGTGTGGGAAAAGCTAACGACTAGCATGGATAGGCTGGTGGTGTTAGCGTGGAAGAGGCTAGCAACTAGCATGGATAGGCTGGTGGTGTTAGTGTGGAAGAGGCTAGCAACTAGCATGGATAGGCTGGTGGTGTTAGCGTGGAAGAGGCTAGCAACTAGCATGGATAGGCTGGTGGTGTTAGCATGGAAGAGGCTAATGACTAGCACAGATAAGCTGGTGTTAGCGTGGGAGAGGCTAGCGACTAGCATGGATAGGCTGGTGGTGTTAGTGTTGGAGAGGCTAACGACTAGCATGGATAGGCTGGTGTTAGCGTGGGACAGGGTAACGACTAGCATGGATAGGCTGGTGTTAGCGTGGGAGAAGCTAATGACTAGCATAGATAAGCTGGTGTTGGCGTGGGAGAGTTTAACGACTAGCATGGATAGGCTGGTGGTGTTAGCATGGGAGAGGCTAGCGACTACCATAGGCTGGTGTTAGCATGGGAGAGGCTAATGACTAGCATGAATAGGCTGGTGTTAGTGTGGGAGAGGCTAATGACTAGCATAGATAAGCTGGTGTTAGCGTGGGAGAGTTTAACGACTAGCATGGATAGGCTGGTGGTGTTAGCGTAGAAGAGGCTAGCAACTAGCATGGATAGGCTGGTGTTAGCGTGGGAGAGGCTAGCGACTAGCATAGATAGGGTGGTGTTAGCGTGGGAGAGGCTAGCAGCTAGCATAGATAAGCTGGTATTAGCGTGGGAGAGGCCAGCAGCTAACATAGATAAGCTGGCGTTAGCATTGGAGAGGCAAGCAAATAATGAGAAAAGCCAGAACTATCAAGTTGGGGCTTTTTACAGTTTTGACAGGGTATTTAAACTAGGCTTCACAGTTTTGAATTATAATTTATAATGTCATATACAGATATTTCTCATAAGTTGGCTAAAGAGGAAAAAAAACACTGCCATCGACTAATAGACAAGCGTAAACACAGCTGCTAATTCCTGGGGCAACTAAAGCTGTCTGCTTCACAGTAATATGTTTTGTTTAATATTTGTGCTTGTCCTCATGTTGAACAGTAAATTCTGTCTATGGAACASCTGTCAGTGCATGTTGCCTACACAGTAGGTTTTGTATGTCAACTGTTTTTGTTGTTGAGAAAGTTTTCTTTATTCAAAAAAGTTTGTGTCTAATAAAGTAGATCAGCAGCCTCTCACTAGTTACTAGCCTCTCCGAGTGGTGCCAGCCTGTGATTAATCAGATCAATAGCTGGTTTAGGAATAGATTTAGCAACTGCTGGTTGTGCAAWAGTCTTAATTTTGGTCCTCATACAGTGCCATATCTCTCTGGAAAAAAACCCAAACATCTAATTTAAAATAACAAAATGTTATTGTGCTGTTATGTTAAACTGTTTATAATAAATATGGTTTGTAAAATCTGTGATGATAAAAAATCTTTTTGGTCATTAAAGGTTTAGTGACTCTACAGATTGACGTGAAAACTGAAGGTAGCCAAAGACTTACATGCTCAAAGCGTAACGTAGGCTCACTGGAACTATCAAAACCAAATATCTCAACGGTTCCATCATCCCTGCCCACCAAGATGTCACTCACTCCGTCTCCTATAATGTCGTACGTATCAATGCACAGAATCCCTGACGGAAGGACAGAGAGGTTAGTTAAAACAAACTTAAAACCTTTTGGAATGAAGAAAGTTCTTATATGTTAGAACAGTGGTTCCCAAACTTTTTATCTTCTGACCCACAAAATATCCACGGCAAAAACTTGTGACCCCAAATACTACTTGTCTGAGTACACGAACTTCATTAATAACCCTAAAAACACAGGCTTTTTAACAGTATAAACAGTTTGTACACACATATAAATACTTAATTTTGCTGCCCTCCAATTCACTTTAACTAAATTTGTCTGAATACAGCAGTGGTTCCCAGACTTTTTACCTTCTGACCCACAAAATATCCACGACAAAACTTGTGACCTCAAATATTACTGGTCTGAGTACACAAACTTTGTTAATCCTAAAAACACAGGCTTTGACAATCTAAGCAGCTTGTACACAAATATAAAAACACTTATTTATACTTATTTTGTGTTTTTGTAATAGTTATAGGG